AGTCTTAAAGCTGTCAAGTTACAAGATCCTTGCACCCCTAACCCTTTAGAAAAAAAAAACCAGAGGTCTTCAAATCTGACAGCTTTAAGACTTGTGGACTTCAACTCCCAGAATTCCTCCTCCAGTCATGTTGCGGCAACATCATCTGCGTGGATCTGCTCCATCCTCAGTTTTTTTCAACTGGGGCAGGGCTGCAGCTGAAGATGCTGACGAGACCCCACTGCCACTAGAATAACTGCTGCCGTCTCCTCCTCCTCCAACAGCACCACCACATTTGCTGCCCAGTGCTATGGCTGAGTTGAAGCCGCCAAAGCTCCCGTTGGCACCCCTGCCCATGGCAGCAGCGCCGCCGCCTCCCCCTCAGCTCGGAGCACCTGAGCTGGGCACTGCGTTACCCCTGCTGCCACCTCCTCCTCTGCTGTGCTTTTGAGAAGCCACGGGGCCTTTTTTTCCTGCTGCCGCCCCCTCCGCCGCCTTCCTACTGGCTCCCGCAGCCCCATGGCTCCGCAAAAGCACGGCGGAGGAGGAGAGGGCAGGGGTAATGCTGTGCCCAGCTCAGGTGCTCTGAGCGGAGGGAGAGGCACCGCTTCCACAGGCGGGGGCGCCAGTGGAGCTTTGGCAGCTTTACCTCAGCTGCAGCGTCGGGCAGAAATGTGGTGGTGCTGTTGGAGGAGGAGGAGGAGGCAGCAGTTATTCTAGTGGCAACGGGGGCTTTGGGGGTTCACTTCAGCCTCAGCGCCAGGTGCAAGCAGCTAGGACTGGCCGCCCACAAAGGACCTCCCCGGGCTTGCTTTGCTGAACACGGGGCGACTGACGATATTTTGACCGGGCACGGCCAGCACAAACTACCGTCAGTCGCCCCGCACTTATCAACACAAGTCCGGGGAGGTCCTTTGCAGGCGGCCAGTTCTAGCCGCCTGCAAAGGACCTCCCCAGCTTCCAGAGCCTGTGACAGTAGAAATCACTGCGCGGCAGTTGCAAACTGCTGCGCGATGTTTTCTTGCCAGGTGCGCAGCCGTGCACCTTAGAGGGAACATTGACGTGTAGTGGTTGAGGCACTGGTTTATAAATCAGGAGATTGTGAGTTCTGGTCCCACTTTAGGCATGAAGACAACTGAGTGACATTGAACCACTCTTTCTCTCACTCTCACAACCCAACCCACCTCACAGGATGGTTGTTGTGTGAAAAATAGGGAGAAGAAGGAGTATTAACTACGCTCATTGCCTTGTTACTGATAAAGTATTAAAGGTGGAATAAAAATGTAATAAATAAATAACCAAGAAATTTGCTTATGTAGAAACATTAGCATTTTTATGAGATTAATAACACATGTTATTTGTTACATTGTAGTGTACATAAAATTGTTTTCTAGCCACCACTAAAGTAACAGACTAAGATGAAAAAGTATTTCGGAGCAGTAAAACATATTATTAATATCATTTTGTTCTGTTTTGGTAATATCCAACTTCTTGGAAAAGTAAAAAAAAAATGATCTAGGATAAAGAAATATATCTTAGAATTGTGCCAAAGATTTTGACGTCATGATCAGAACCCTTCAACTTTGAAATGCTTTCCGTAAATATAGTCTTCAATAGCATGGATAAAAGGATGAAAGGCCTATAACAGTGATCCCCAACTTTTGAGGCTTGGTGGCCCAGCAAGGGAGGGGGAGAACTGGTTTACGCAAATTGAGCTGCATGCGTACACTGGCCAGGCGATCATGTGGCCCAATTCTGTTCAGGCTGGCCACAGCCCGGTAGTGGCCACGGCCCGGGGGTTGGGGAGCACTGGCCTATAAAATAATCTGATTTATTTCCCCCAAAGGTTGGTGACCGGGATGATTCAAATCTCTACATTAGCATGAAGCTGAAGGCTGCCGCTGAGGTAATTCTGCTTTTCATAGCATTAGATTCAATGAAACATTTTGTTCCTATTTGTGAACTTAGCTTCAAGTAGAGAAGTTGAGATACATAGTTTCCAATTGTGAAGTGTAATGGTTACTATAACTTTCCTTGTTAGGATTAATGGATACTCAATTACAAAAGAGTAGTGGAAGATTAGTTTTATATATCATTGCTGCTACCCACAATGGAGGAATGGTTGGTGAAGATGACAAAACTAGCAGAGATGGCAGCATTATTTGATTAGCGAAAGAGCAATAACTACATTTATTAGTGACTGGAAACCTCTTTTGCTGAAAAAAGAAGAAAAAAATTACGGGTTTGAAGACTAGAAAGGGCAGCTTATGGAAAGAAGGAAAATGTGATGTAAATTTAGATAGATGGTACATATAAAATTATAACCATTACCAAGGAGATGGGAAATTGTTTCTGTAGTAGTAGAAACTCTGCAAGTTCTTCCCTTCTGGTGGAAAGACTTTGCAACAATTGTCTTCTTCAGCTGTACAAAGTTAGGATAGGTGTATGTTATGGAGGACTGTTATGGTAACCAAGAATAATTTGCCAATTTGCACAGGGGCAAATGCTTAATTAAAGCTACAGGAAAGAAGTACACATACATATACAGGTAGATATCTATATACATATAAATATAAAAACTTGTTTTTATTTCTGTTTCAAGACCAGAATTGAACACATGATTAGTTCTTATTTTCCCACACTGTACTGCGGTGACAGATGATGAAACTCTTGCTTTGCATTGTGTCAAGAAAGTTGTCTGGTTGCCTAGACAACCTAGGAATACATTTTCCTGGCTTTGCCAATGAACATAATATACCTTTTTTGAACTCTGCATGAGGAATGTTATAAAGCTTGCAAAATGAGACTGTTTAACCTTCATCTGGCCGTGTCTCAGTTCATAAACTCTGTCATTCATTTGGAATTTTGTTTTCTCAGATCGGGATCAATGCCAATCACATCAAGCTGCCAGGCACTGCTACAGAAGCTGAGGTAATCCAGTTCATTTTAAGATATGTATGCATCAGCTGTATGTGATCAGATCAGCCTCATCTGATATTATGTCTTCTGTTGCCCCTTGGAAATCGATATCCTGAACCACTATTGAAATGATTGCTTTCTTTCTAACATCAGCTACCTTCGGTGTCTATAATTTAACATTTTTAATTTGGGAATGTCTTAAAAAAAATTACCAGGCAGAAACAATGACGAAAAATAGCATGTCATGTCAAATCATGGTTTTCTATTTATGTACTCTTGAATAAACCATGGTTGGCTACTGTGGACATGAACTCAATCATAAAGCTTATGTGTGCTGCTTTGTTTTTAAATGGTTCACTTAGTTAAAAATAATAAATGAAAAGCATACAGTACCAACCTAAAGAAACTCTAATAGATTCCAGAATTATCATTAGGTGGATGGCTACGAGTCTGGATATTGTTCAGAAGTATACTTACTTTTTTAGGGAAAGAAAAAAAAAGCAAAGATAAACTTAAATGACAGAGAATACTTAATAGGCAAAAGCTGGTGGCAAGGAATAATTCATTTATAATCTCATTAATAATTCTGCTCTCCATAACAACCATATTTCAAGAGATTCCAAATGTGAGCTGGGAAGGTTGGGATCATTATTATAACCTATGAAATGTTTAAAAACCGTAGCTGGGTTGACATAACCTACTAAGTTGCACCAAAGACAAATTCCTTGTGTGTCCAATCACACTTGGCCAATAAAGAATTCTATTCTATTCTAAGTTTTTGTTTGACTTTGGTTTAGTGCAAGAACATCCAACCCATGATCCACAGGATGCCTGTGACCCTGGACAGCTAGTAATCTGGCCCCACAAAATTGTAAATGTTTAACATTATGTGATTTATATACATTAACTATGGTATATTATATATTTTATAAGAGGCCCAAGCAATTCCTCTTCATTTAATCCAGCCCAGGCAAGGCAAAAGTTTGGACACCCATGGTTTAGCACATAGGTGTCAAACTCGATTTTATTGTGGGCCTCATCAGGGTTGTGTTTGACCTCGGGGGCCAGAGTAGCATGGCCAGTTTGATGTCACTTGTGTTGGGGGTGTCTGTCATGGCCCGACCGCTCTGCCAGCAAAAATGACCTTCTGAGCTCTGCTTTCAGCCACGATGGCCCCCTGCCATTTTCACTGGCAGAGAGTGGCAGGAGGCCATCTCAGCCAAAAACAGAGCCTGGGAGGACCACATGCTCCGTTTTCATTGGCAGAGGCACCACGGGCCAGTCCTTTGCTATTTCTAGGGTGGCCCTGCAGGCCAGATCTAAGCATCCCCCAGGCCGGATCTGGCCCCCGGGCCTTGAGTTTGACACCCCTGGTTTAGCAGGTGTATGATTAGCCCTAACACTGCATTTGGATACATTCATAATCATGAGGTAATGTTGAAAATAATTCCAGTTTGTTAGAGCTGGTAAATATTTCTGTGCCCCTTACACAATCTCTCATGCTTGATGCCTCCTGGCAGCAGGAGTGATTGAAGAAATCAGGAAGCCTCTTCTGTGGTTTATCAACATTGCCTCTGAACTGGCTTGTTTCCCATCTTTTCACCATTCCTATTAACTTGCAGGTGCTCAAATGCATTAACAATTTGAATGAAGACCCTGCCATCCATGGGTTTATAGTGCAATTGCCTCTGGATACAAACAAGCCCATCAACACAGAGAAAATAACCAATGCTGTGGCACCCGAAAAAGACGTCGATGGGTATGATTGTTTTTTTTAAAAGCATGTTAATTTACTTGGGGATAAAACTCTCTTGTTGGGAGTTATAGTCCCAAAGCATCTGGAGAGCAAGTTGGGGAAGGAATACATTAAAGCAGTGATTTTTCAAACTTGGCAACTTTAAGATATGTGGGCTTTAACATGAAATGCCAGCTGGGAAATTCTGGGAGTTGAAGTCCTCACATCTTAAAGTGGTCAAGTTGGGAAAACATTATCCTAAAGAAAAGCAAAATAATTGTCTTTAGAAGTGTCCGTTCGCTATTATATGTGTTAGGTTTCCATTTTGCTTTTATTCTCAAAGGAAGAAAACTTCCCTAGTATAAGTAAATATTCAGGCATAAGATCACCAAAAGTTAAGCTTTAATAACTTCTGTTTGCCATTGCCTTCTTCCTTGAGCTGAAAGAGAATGATTGGCTTTGTGACTTTGTGCCTAAGGTGGGACTAGAAATATCTCGCCTAATTTCTAGCCTGGTACCTTAATCATTATGGCAAACTGGCTCTTATTAAATTGCAAGGGAGATTTTTTTTTAAATCACCATATTTTGTTATGAACACGGAGCCAAAAAAGTTACATTAAAGTAAGTTAGACTATCAGTCTATCTAATTCAGTGATATGACCATTTAGTATAGGAAGTCCTTGACTTACAATCACAATTGCACCCAAAATTTCTGTTGCTAAGTGAGACACTTGTTAAGTGAATTTTGCCCCATTTTACGACCTTTCTTGCCCCTGTTTTTAAGTGAATCATTGCAGTTGTTAAGTTAGTAACATGATTTTTAAGTGAATCTGGCTTCCCCATTGATTTTGCTTGCCAGAAGGTCATATGACCTATAACTCCAAGACACTGCAACCATTATAAATACGACTCAGTTGCTAAGTGTCTGAATTTTGATCATAGGAGCCATAGTGATGCAGAAAAGTGTGGAAAATGGTCAAAAGTCATCTTTTTCAGTGCTGTTGTAACTTGAACTAAGCAAACTATTGTAAGTCGAGGACTACCTGTAATCCACAAGGTTTCTTGTAGTTCCTCCCCTACAAAAGTTTAGATAGGCATAAAAAATTCAGAGCCATCTACAAAAGTTTAGACGGAAGGATAAAATTTCAAGGACTGCTGTTTTGCTTTTTTCCTCTTTAGCTTGAGCAGTATAAATGCAGGGAAGCTGTCACGTGGGGACCTCAGCAACTGCTTCATTCCTTGCACACCCAAAGGATGCATGGAACTTATCAGGCAAACAGGTGAGCAAGGAAAGGAGGGGTCTTGATTCACAAGAGCCAGGGATACGCTTTAGGTACCATGAGTGATTATGGGTGGAAAAGGAATAAAACGAAACACAAACATAAACACTTGAGTGGCAACTCACTTGATGCCTTATCATAAATGGCAACTTAGCTCTAGTGAAGAGAAATATTATCTCTTTAAATGGGATAGGCAGTTCAGAAATGTGAAAAATAAATAAAATGTTGGAAGAAGTATGTCAGAGCATTCAAAGACACTCTGCCTTAATTAATTCATATAAATGGGGCTGGAAAAACTCTACTGCACTTTTCAAGGTTCTGAATTTACATCAAAGAGACCTTAGTGAAATCTCTGTAGTTCTTGTTTCTTTGATCTTGCCCAACTGCATGGAGCTTAACACATACAAGCCTTAATAAAAGCATGATTCGGGGGCTTGGGGGTTATTTTTTGTAAGCCATTGTAGGCTGAACAGAGCACAGCTTTTGTGATGTGAATGCAAATTTTGGGTTCTGCATTTCAGGTGTTCAAGTAGCAGGCAAAAAAGCAGTAGTGATTGGGCGCAGTAAGATCGTTGGGGCTCCTATGCATGACTTGCTGCTTTGGAACCATGCAACTGTGACCACTTGCCATTCCAAGACTGCATCACTGGCTGATGAAGTAAGGCAGGAAAACTGCGGCTATAATGATTCTGGGATTTAGCCTATGCAAAGTTTGTGTTCTGCCAGGGAATGTATCAATCTTCTCTCCCCATCAGGATCCTCTTTCCGGATGGTTATAGTTCAGCAAATGCACAGGATTTCTTAATAGGACAGGCGATCATGGGAAGTAAATGTAATTCCATACTAAAGTATATGCCTCCATATGAAAAATCCCAGGAAAATCTGTAATTTCCTCTTGGAAAGAATACTGGGAAGTAGCAGACCTCAATTTGCAGTATAGGATTCCTTCTTTAAAGTCTATGTTAAAGTAGGCACTTGATCCAAACTACCAGTGCTTTATATTTGGATAGTGATTTTCCAGCTCAACATAGAAACAGGAAGAAAAGTCTGAAAAAACAAATACGACCATGTTGTTTATTGGTCTGTGCAGATTCACAAGAAGCCAGTTTTGCACAAACAATTATTAAGATCTCTAGTCAAAGAAGTACAGAATTTGGGGTGGGTGGGGGCATGTACACTGTGTGTACAATTATTAGGCAAGTTGTATTTTGGAGGATTAATTTTATTATTGAACAACTACAGAGATCTTGGTCAATCCAAAATGTTAATAAACCTCAAACCTGAATATTTAAGAAAGTAAAAGTGAGGTTTTGGCTTTATTAGGAGAATATCTATGTGTGAACAATTATTGGGCAACTATTAGTGTGCAGAATTATTATGCAACTAAATAAAAAATGAAAATTTGCCCATCTCACTCGTTTATTTGCATTTGTTAAAGTGAGAATAATAAACAACTCAAAATGTACAAATGAACATTTCTGACATTTCAAACAAAAAAATCTTATGGGAAGATAGCCTGTCAAAAACAATATTCAAGGATTTTCCCTGGTATACTATACTTTTTTTAGACAGGGAGGGAATGCTCTTGTTGATTTGCATGTGTGTTCTAAAAAGATGAACTCTTGCTGATAGGTGGAATATCTGATAATTGCAAAATGTTGGGGAAATGATTCCTGTATTGATGTTTATGTCTGAGAAGGAAGCCACATGTTGCTCAACACAAATACATGCATGCACGCGCACACACACACACACATTCCTATTTTAATTAACTAAAAGGATTTATATTCATATTATAAGACATTGTTAAATAGATAAATCACTTTAAAGAGGGGAAGGCACAGCAGGAAAGAAAGAGAACAAATTTAATGATCAAAGTTTCTTCATGAAAGTAGGTTAATACAAATTGTGCTTGCAGGTCAGTAAAGCAGATATCCTGGTAGTTGCAGCTGGCAAAGCTGAGATGGTAAAAGGTGAATGGATCAAGCCAGGTTCAGTAGTGATCGACTGTGGAATCAATCACATTCCAGGTAACATTGAAAAATGACTTTGAAAAACTGTTAGTAAACATATGTTAATTAGCATAGAGGTAGGAGAAAATGATTACATTCATTAGTGGTTCAGTCAGGTAATTACAGATCTTACGGTATTCTTCAGAGTATAAGATGCTCCGAAGTATAAGACGCACCCAGCTTTTGGGGAGGAAAACAAGGAATATCTGCCTCTGCCTCCCAGCAATTTGCCTCCTTGCAACAAACAGCAAACAGTACAGACAATATACACTGTTTGTAGTGTTACATTTCAGACTATACTTGTATAGATGCTGTTAAAATTGATGTGCTTTCTGGAAGTATAGTTATTCTCTGCTATTTAAAAGATAATACAATAGCACTGGGCCTCTTCAGAGCAAGCA